ATAGTGACTCAATTAATTGCGTCAAATAATTGCGTCAATTGCGTCAAGGATCTACCTATTTCTACCACATGTATAGTGTACGCCACCTGTGTTAAAAAAAAATAAAAAAAAAAATATATTAAATTTACTGTAGATAAATACTATTTCAATGCAACTTTGATACCAATTTGATATTTTTTTGGAGCCCTATTTAAAAATCATAAATTTATTAGTATATATAGTTATATAAACAATTATTCAATTACTATTGTAGAAGCTAAAGATTTTATATATCATAAAAACTAAAGAAATTTAAGAAATTAATTGTAAATCAGATAACTCAAATTTCTCAGAAATTAGAGATTTGTGACATAATTATATCAATTACAAGATGATTCAAATATTCTTTCACAAATATGAAAAAATATGTTTGCTTTTGTATTAACTTAAAAATCTTGTAAAGGATTAAATTTTAAACTAATCAGAAATATTAATTGATTTTTTTAAAATAAATAACAAAAAAAAATTATTTTTGATATATTTGAGAAGTATATAAATTTCCAGAAGATTTCTAAGTGGTAAAGGGAAATTTTTATATCAAGGCTTAGTGCTTTTTAGTACTTTGTTATAGGCAGTGAAAAATTTTATTATAAGAAGTAGTTACTTGACAAAGATTAAAACAATATAATTTGCGAAAAGAATTGTTAGTCCATAGATTGTCTCATAAATTGAAAGAAAAAATGCAAATTTATTTTTATTATAGAAGGTTTTATATGGAAAGTAGTAATTTTTGAAGGAAAAGGTCGAAGTATAAAGTAAAAAATTAAGAGGAACCTAATATTCTTCGTGAAATATTAGCATATAAACCATCAAAAAAAAAGCGCTTTTATGATCTGCAACTAAATACTGTATTTATTGACAGACTCACTAGTCCGACAATTACTACAATATATTATAAAGTTATTATAATTAGAATATAAATAATATATAATTATATTAAATTTCAATAAACAACTTTAAACAAATTAGTCATATCAAGATACGATTAGTGATTATTAAGAGATCCATTTAATTAGAAATTACTTTATCTGAGTGATTAATATTATTCCAACGAATATTATACTTTTTAATTAATTTTATCAATCTGACTACATTTAATAGTAACTATAGTTAAATAGAATATAAATAATTTTATATTATTTAAAATTTCGATGCTGACAGATTTTTATAATTTGAGGTTTTTTTTTTGTCTATTGTAACAAGGGAAGTGGCAATGTGTATATTACCAACACCAGATGTCAAGACATATCATATGCCATAATTAAAACAAGCTATGACGAAACAATAGCTGGCACACATGAAAATATGAGAGGCTTTGGTAGGAAATATAACATAAGCAGAGAAAGACCAGGCAAAATCATGTGCTACATCTCTACTTGGTAAAATTAATTAGATAATGACAAAACAATAATATATTATATAATAGCTTTGTCCCAATTTCATTACTTTATTTTTCTTTATTTTTCTTTTTTTTTGTATATTTTATTTTCTCATTGTCGAATCTTATGTAATTACTGGACTTAATATATAAAAGAACCATGTTGTAAAAAAAAAAAACATATGACAACAATTAATAAATCAAATTTTTAGCCATAATCAAATCACCTTACCTATAATAAAAACACTTACCTTTATTACACAAATCCTAGCTTTCATTAGTAACAGACTTGCCAATACCAGTGATACTATATTACTATATATTTTATTTCTGTATTAGACTTTTGCAAATTTAATACTATTCTTGATCTTACGTTTAATCTCTTTACTTAGCTTATTGTTTTGTAGATTCAGATTTATTAAATCTCTGTTATTACACAGTGCATTTGCTAGTTCGTTTCCTGCTAAATAACCTATCTGGTTAGATTTCAAATTTAAATTAATTAGAGTATTATTTTTGTTCAAAGCTTCGACAAGCACCTTCTCTGATAATTCATCCAATTTACTAGTTTTTAGATTTAAATCAGTTAAAGTGATATTCCTATATAAAGCTTTAGCTAATTCCTCTTCCGTTGAATCACTTAATCGATTATGTTTTAGCTTTAAGCAATTCAGGGTGTTATTTTCGCATATAGCCTTACATATTGCTTTTTCAGTTATATCATCTAGATGTTTATACTTTAGATCTATATTTTCCAAAGTAATATTTTTGCATAAAGCTATTGCCATTGAAATTCCTATTTGCAAACCAAATTTATTTCAAAATATATTTAAATTAATCATAAAATTATTTTAACAGAGAGTCTCAATCAATGCTTCACCAACAGAGTCACTCATGTAATTATTATTTAAACTTAAATTGGTCAGTATGGTGTTTTATACAATGCTCTAGAAAGAGCCACTCCTGCTGACCTATCTAGTTGATTATTACTAATTTTTAGGCTGGAAAGTGTGATATTTTTGAACAATAATTGAGCAAGAATTTTTCCTGCTGAATCTCCAGTTAATTTGTTTCTATATTGAGGTCTACCAAAGTAGAATTCTTATTTAAGGCCTCGGTCAGTACTTTTTTGTTATAGAACCAAGTTTATTACACGAAAGGTTCAAATATATTATGGTGACATTTATAACAAAGAGCCTTAGCAAGAGCATCCCCTGTTAAGTCACCTATATTATTACTTTTTAGACTTTAAGTTTTCAATGTGAAATTCTCGCACAGAGTCTTTGTCATTGCTTTTTCCATCAAGTCACTTAGTTGCTTTTCACTAATATTTGGATTGGTAAATTCTGCATTTTTGCATAGAGCTTCAAATAATGCTTTTCCCACAAAATAATCAAATTTATTATATTCCTGTTAATTCGCTTATTTTGTTGGCACCTAGATTTAAATTGATTAGACTGGTATTTTCGTATAATGCCTCAGCAAGCAACTTTTCTACAGAATCATTCAGTAAATTATATTTTAAATTCAAGTTAGTCAAGGTAGCATTATTATATAAGGACTCTACCAGTGCTTTTCCTGTCTCAACCCCTAGCTAATTTTTATACATATTGAAGCTAGTTAGGATATTATTATTAAATTCAGCCTCAGCTATCATTTTCATGCCAAATTTCCCAGCGTATAGTATACTAAATTTAAATTAGTCAAGATATCATTCTTCCATAAAGCTTGGCCAATGCTTTTCCTGTTAAATCACACAATTTGTTAGATCCCAGGTTCAAATTTTTTAGGAATGTATTCTTGTATAAGGCCTCTGATAATGCTTTTCCTGCAGAATCACCTAATAGATTATATTATATTTTAGATTTAAGCTAATTAAAGTAGTTCTTTCCTGTTAAGTCACTCAACTGATTTTTGTATAAATTTAAATCAGTCAAGGTGGTATTATTATTCAGAGCTGTGCTAACGCAGTTCTCGGCAGATCACCTAATTTATTATATTTTAAATTCAAATTTAACAGTACTATTACTTCTCAATGCCTCAGCTAATTCTTTTTCTGTTGAATTATTGAGATATTGTTGTTTAGACTCTAGCTAGTTAAAGCATTGTTCTTATACAATGATTTAGCAAGCACCTTCCTTGTCAATTTACATAATTAATTACCACCCAGGCTTAAGAGTGTTATTTTTTCCTGTTTTTGCTAGAGCTTTTCCTATTGAGTCACCGAATAGATTGAATTATAAATTCAGATTCATCAGGATTGTATTTTCACAAAAAACCTTAGTTAATGCTTCTCCTATAGAATTATCAGTCTATTAGATGACAATTTTAAGCTAGTTATATTAATATTTTTATATAAAACTTCAGCCAATGATTTTCCTGCTGAACATTCCAATTTATTACTGCTAAGATTTAATATGGCCAAGATCATATTTTTTCTTAGAGACTTAGTTAGTGTTTTTCCTATGAAATTATTCAGTTGAGTGCAGCATAGATCCAAATTA